AACAAGGCAATGTTTAATCTAAAAAAGAGAAGATTTCGAAGGATATGAGATGAGGGCAGCTGCTTATCAAGGAGGGGTTTTTGTTGTTGTTGTTGTTGGGTTTTGTTCTTTGTAACAAGAGATGGAATATCTAGAAATTACAGGGAAGCAAATTTTAGTCCGATAGAAGAACTTAACGATTAAGGGTGTCCAAAAGGTGAAACAGGTAGCAGATTTCCAACTGAAGCCAAAGCCAAAATGGAAATCTTTGAGGAAAACTATTCTTCAGGTCCTGCACTGAGTGAGCACTTGGCATAGAGGCCTTCTCACTTCCCTTCCAACTCTTTAAAAGGCCCTATACATTTTTTATTTGTGGGAGTGGGAGAATATGAAATCATTGGATTTCATGAAATCTTCTTGGTTGGAGAATAAGGAAGACCTCACACTTGCTAATATCTTGGTTTATATCAATATAGAATTATTTTATGGTGAATTTCTACTTACAGCTGATTTTCGCTATATCAGGTGCTTTGGGAATCACATCCCCAGAAAAGTCTCTTTGTGATAATAATGTCCCAGGGTTGTTAGCAAAGCAGAATTCCCTTCCAGAAGTTCTCAATTCCCATAATTTTGTGCCATTTTTTTCCTTTCAAAAAATGGCTGGGCTATACCACTGACTATGAGATATACGAACAGATGTCCCTGGAATGAGTGGGGAAGGAGTGTAGGTAGTCTAATCCTGGTAAGGACTCAATTTCAGAACCCATTCACAGACCAGGGCAAGAAGGAAGATGAAATCCAAATATGAGTCTTAATGAGTCTTTCCTACTAAGAGGTAACATTCTATAACATCTTTCTCACTTCTTACCACGTGCCTCAGCCCATACCTACAAAAATTTCTCCTGTGCAAAGTTTTAAACTAATCCACACTAAAGTAACCAATGTGGCTAAGAGGTGGACGGCAGATCACCATGCCATAGCATCTCAGAAAGTAGAAATACCTCTCTGTCCTGCAAAGAAGGACTGAGACTCCAGATGTCAGGGAATAGCCTCCCTAATTGAAATGAATCTGCCAAAGGGTGACAAGAGAGTTCTGCAAAGACAATCTGCAAGTGAAAAGGGCCATCTTACAAGCAGTGAGCTCCTTCCCATGAGATTCATCTTACCCTCAGAGTTGTCTCATTCTGAGGACTTCTGCTATCCCTACTGGCCCAGATGAGCTCTGACCCATTTTAAAACTACAGCCTAAGGGGGCGCCTGGGTGGCGCAGTCGGTTAAGCGTCCAACTTCAGCCAGGTCACGATCTCGCGGTCTGTGAGTTCGAGCCCCGCGTCAGGCTCTGGGCTGATGGCTCGGAGCCTGGAGCCTGTTTCTGATTCTGTGTCTCCCTCTCTCTCTGCCCCTCCCCCGTTCATGCGCTGTCTCTCTCTGTCCCAAAAATAAATAAAAAAAACAAAAAACCAAAAAACGTTGAAAAAAAAAAAAAAAACTACAGCCTAAGAACAGCCAAACACAAACCACTTCCCTGGTTCCCCATGAACAGCTAAAAAAAGGCTGGAATTTTTCCTTTTAAGTTGATTTATTTATTTTGAGAAAGGGAGAGACAGAGAGACTGAGAGTGTGACCAAGGAAGGGCAGGGAGAGAGGGAGGGAGAGAGAATCCCAAGCAGACTCCTTGCTGTCCGTGCAGAGCCTGACATGGGGCTTGATCCTATGAACCATGCGATCATGACCTGAGCCAAAAATCAAGAGTCAGACACTTAACTGACTGAGCCAACCAGGTACCCCTGGAATTTTTCTTAATTATAAAACAAGAGAGAGAGAGAGTCTAGGAAAGAGGAGGTGAGGAAGAGGGACCATTTATACTCTACCACCACAACACAATCCATCATTTCTATTTACTACTTTCTAATCCTTATTTGTAAGCATTCATACGGTGATTTGCAAGAAACTAAAAGGAATTTTTTTAATAGAAAATACACTAATACACTCTAGGAAAATTCAGCCTTACACATAGAACCTTCATTCCATACCAATTAACTCCCCTAGACACCCAAGCCTTGTTTCCTTACATGGCTGAAAGGGGGAAAGGGTTATATTAAAGTTATATTTGCTCACTCTACATATGCTAGTTTCCTTATCCCAGCAACCCTTTAAGAGTACATACTATTATCTCAATTTTAGGGGAAACTAAGGCTCTCAGAGACTAAAGAAACCTAGGATCACACAGCTAGAAAATCATGGAACCACGTTAAAATCCTAATCCTAATCCTTCTGATTCTAAAACTCATGCTTAAAGTTGAAAGACAAGCCATAGACTGGGGGAAAATATCTACGACACATACGACAAAGAGTTAAGGTTCCTTACAAGCGAGGATACCAACAGAATAGATTTCACAAAGACAGGTAGGCGATCATTTATTTTTTTGGAGATAATATTTTTTTAAAAGCAGAAAATACTTATGTTCAGGCTTTCACTAAAGAGGAAATGCAAGTACCCAACAAAATTTGAAAAGATGCTGACCTTTACTATGAGTCAGGGAAAGGCAAATTAAAGTCGTCAGATACTATTCCTCACCCATATGTTGGCAAAAATTTAAAAGAGTGATAACAGTCCATTCCAATTCCAAGGAAAGGGCCACTTCCTGACACTGCTGGAGGAAGTATAAATTATCAGAATATTTTCCAGAAGTAACCTGATACAGCATCAATGAAAATTTTAAATGTACATTCTGTTTGACCTTATATTATCACTTATTGGAATCCAGCTCAAAAAAACAAAAAGCACCAGTACACACATTTAAAGATATTTATTGTAGCATTGCTCATGTTGAAACAATAGAAACTGCTCCTGAATAGTTCTTTTTTTTTTTTTTAATTTATTTTTGAGAGACAGAGAAAGTGTGAGTGGGGGCAGGGCAGGGAAAGGGAGACAGGATCTGAAGCGGGCTCTGTGCTGACAGCAGAGAGCCTGATGTGGGGCTTGAACTCACGAACTGTGGGATCGTGACCTAAGCCAATGTTGGAATTTTAACCGACTAAGCCACCCAGGTGCCCCAATAGTTCCTATTTTAGTAAATTAAAGTGTAGCCATATTTTTGTAACAAAAGTTCATAACAAAATTTGAGAATAGTAAAATATTTTCCAAATTAAGTAAAGCCCCTAATCACTCTTTTGTTCCTTTTCCCTAATAGACTATTTTTAATATATTTACATTCTGCAGAAGTAGTACTAGATATCATGTTAATAAGTGACTAATCAATGGTCTATGAAAATACCTCATTAAAATTCCATGTGATGATTTCACAGATTCTAAGTATTTTTCAAAAGAAACATATCAATTTTTGGCAACTTTACAAAGGTGTAAAAGTTAATTTGGCCTTGAAATCATGGTATATAAATTCACTGGTAGGAGCATCTGGGTGGCTCAGTTGGTTGAGCATCTGCCTTTTGATTTCAGCTCAGGTCATGATCTGGAGGGTTCATGAGATCGAGCCCTGCGCTGGACCCCGTGCTGATAGCATGGAGCCTGCTTGGAATTCTCTCTCTCTCTCTCTCTCTTTCTCTGCCCCTCCCCCTGCTCATGCTCTCTCTCTCTCTCTCTCAAAATAAATAAACTTTAAAAAATTCATTAGCAAAAACTGTTCAAGTTTTGTTATATATGAATACAAAGAAAAACACATCTACAAATCTCATTCCTCTCAGTTGATCAGATGAGACCAGATTTTATTTTAATCTGCAAAGAGTATTAGCCAAAATAATAATAATTCTACTTTAAAATATGTGTGTGTGTGTGTGTGTGTGTGTGTGTGTGTGTATATATATATAATCACTCAGAGTTAATTTCCCGAAAAAAAAGTTCGAGGAATCACACAAACACAAAAGAAGAGCAAGAAAACTGGAGTAAAAGTATATAAGTTTAACATCATGTTCCGGTTCTCCAGTCTTCCTGTGCATCCTAGACGTTTCTTCCACACTTGGCTGGTTACACGGAAATTAAATAAGACCCTGTTGAGATACTCAAGCACTGGTTCCCTCGGTTTCCCCAAAGCCCTCATAAAGGCACATGAAATATAAAATCATAAATTATCCCATGAGTCCCCATCAAACAATGTCATCTGCCCCTTCTCCAATGTTCCAGTGTACTCCACTTATAATTCTTATGACACTTAGTTCAAAACGCTGAAGGAGGTGAACTTGGATATCTGTGTATGTTATATCCCCCACCAGACTGTAAGCTCCTAGGCAGCAGAGTATGTAGTTCAGGGTCGGGGGAGACCTGAGAATTCAGCCAGTCCAACCACCCAAGCAAAATCTCAGAGCTCTTTACAATACTTCACCAAGCAGAAAAGTTTGCGATAGCGGTACTACCCCCACTCCACGGCAGCTTGTTCCTTCTTAGGAAAAGTGGATCTCCTAGAAAGCTCTCCTATAAATAGAATTAAGATATTTTTCTGCAATTTTTCTCATTTAACCCCTCTCTTACCCATTGGTAATCTACAGAATAGATCAAATCCCTATTGCCACAGGACAGCTTGTGAAATATGAGAACCTTCATATTTTTCCTTTAATCTCCTAACTCAGTACTTTGCATATGAAAGAAAGAAAGAAAGAAAGAAAGAAAGAAAGAAAGAAAGAAAGAAAGAAAGAAAGAAAAAGAGAGAAAGAGAAAAGAAATTGTTAAACAATCTTCTTCCATCGCTCATCAATGTACCAGGGTGGGCAAGGTTGTATATTCTCTAAAAGATATTTTATTGGTTTTATAACATGCCTTTAATTTCACTATCTAGTTTTAGGAAGAACTTATCAGGAATACAATAACCGACAATTGAGAAATTCAAAATAGAAACGTTATTCCACTACAATAGCTTTCTCACTCCTTTAAGGTTTTCTCATCTCCACTGCAAACAGACCAGTTCTTCAATGCTGTTGGGATGACCTGTGTGGGCAAAGCTGGGTTGGGACAAGCTGCTCAGCTCTGCCAGGAAGAGTCCACCCTCAAGGGGCAATTTCTTCTCACCTCAGGATCCCTTGGGCTTTCTGGGCTGACTCAGGGCTTCATATGCAGCCTGGATCTCCAGGAAGTGCCTCTGAGCCTCCTCTGTCTGGTGTCGGTTGTGATCAGGGTGCCAGATCTTCACTAGCTCCCGGTATCTTCGATGTATTTCTTCATTTGTTGCCCCCTCTGAGACACTCAAAACCTTAGGGAAACAGAAGGTGAAAATTAGAATTCCATACGTTTCAGAGAACCTGGGTCTCTCCCCACTTCCTTGCTAAATCAGGCTGTGCTATCTCTGGAGTCGGCTTTTACTTGCCTGAGAGAAAGGCCCAGAACCTCAGATTAGAATTCCAGCCTTTTTTCTTTTTTTTTTTTTTTTTTTTTTTTTTTGAGTTTATTTATTTATTTTGAGAGAGACAGAGACAGTGCAAGTGGAGGAGGGGCAGAGAGCGAGGGAGAGAGAGAACCCCAAGGTGACTCCATGTCATCAGCACAGAGCCCAATGCAGGGCTTGAACCCATGAAACAGCGAGACCATGACCTGAGCCGAAACCAAGAGTCAGACGCTTAACCGACTGAGCCACCCAGGTGCCCCTAGAATTCCAGGCTTTTGAAACATGGGCTAGCTCTGGATCTGATGGCAAGAACCAAGCTTTGCTTTGAACCACAGCTGCCCGTTTTCTAACCTGGGACTTCGCCATCCTCACAAGATCTCTTCCTTGAAAGAGAAATAAGCATATATGTCCACCAAAGACATGTACAAGAATGTTCACAGCAGCTTTATTTAGAATGGCCCCAAATTGGAACTAACCTAAATGTTCATTAACAATAGGAATGGATAGATACCGTGTAGTATATTTATACAATGGGATACTACACAACAATGGAAACAATTTATAAATGTTACAGTACTTATTCATAGTACATGCAACAGTATGAATAAATCTCACGAACATAATGTTGAATGAAAGAAATCAGACATGGGGTGCCTGGCTGTCTCAGGCATGTGACTCTTGATCTCAGGGTTGTGAGTTCAAGTCCACGCTAGGTGTGGAGCCTACTTTAAAAAAATAAAATAAAAATAAGTTAATTTAAAAAGGAAAAAAGTCAGGGGCGCCTGGGTGGCTCAGTCGGTTGAGCATCCGACTTCAGTTCAGGTCATGATCTCGCAGTCCGTGAGTTCGAGCCCTGCGTCAGGCTCTGTGCTGACAGCTCAGAGCCTGGAGCCTGTTTTGGATTCTGTGTCTCCCTCTCTCTCTGACCCTCCCCCATTCATGCTCTGTCTCTCTCTGTCTCAAAAATAAATCAATGTTAAAAAAAAATAATAATAAAAATAAAAAGGAAAAAAGTCAGACATAAAAGTATATACCGAATGATTCCATTTGTATGAAGTTCAAGAATGGACAAAACTAATCTACGGTAATAGAAGTCAGAAAAGAGATTCTTCCAAGGAAAGGAGTCTAGAGCGAGAAGGGACACAAGGGAAACTTCTTGGTGCTGGATGTATTCTATACCTTGGTTTGAGTGGTGGTTACAGAGATGTATACATAAAATGCATCATCAGCATACGGCCCAACACAGGGCTTGATCTCACCACTGTGAGATCACGACCTGAGTCACTATCAAGAGTCAGATGCTTAATTGACTGAGCCACCCAGGCACCATATATGTTATATGTTACTTTATATATGTTACACCTCAATAAAAAGTAAACAATATATACCTATCTTTTCCCACTCACTGTTAGTGACCATGTACCTTCACCCATTGCACACAGAAACCCAAAGAAAGCTGGACACCCTTCTAGGGCCCAACCCAGCAGACATGAAAACATATACTCCCATATACGGGGCATCAGTTCCAGTAAGGCTTAGCCTAACTCTCAGAGCTGTCCCAGACAGGAATGAGAGGGAACAAAGACTTACCTGGTAAGCCAGCTGACGCTTCTCATCCTGAAAACTGTTAACAAACTCATAGAGCTTCTCCCACTCACGGAAGGAGTTGTTGCTGAAACCAGGATCCCCCACCAGCAGCCTCCAGATCCGGTAAGGCAGAAGGAAGACAGACTCTGTGATGCGGCCAAGGAGGGGGAAGAAGCTGAACCAACTCAAAAAGGAGCCAAGGGTCTCTGCCACATAGCTAAGGGTGGCTGCTGTGTTGCAGAAGGTGCTATAGGCTAGTGGGCCTGTGAAAGCAAGGTAAGCCAAGCCCAGACGGTAGAGCCGGACACTGAGTGTCTCTGACCCAACTGAAGTCTTATAGCGGCGATGCTTCTGGGCTGTGATGCTGGCAGCCAAGCTGATGGGAAGGATGGCTATGGGGCGGCCGTAGAAGATAGGGGAAATAAGAAATGCTGCCCCTAGTGTATTCTTAAAGTCTGAGGTCTGGTTGCCAACAGCAGCCACAAGCAAGACCCCTAAGCCAACTGCCAGTGGGAGGCCCACAATATAGAAGTTGGCCATGAAAGAAAGGCTAATGAGAGCCACCAGGCCAAAATAGATGCCCACTATCACCTGGGCGACAAAGCGAATGAAACTGAGAGGGGGTGTCCTCCCTACTGAGCTCTGCCTCTGCCTCTGGGGTCTGTTGGCCTGAGCTACAAAGCTCGGGAGCTTCCAGAATTCCCAGAGCCAGCCCAGCCCGCCACCCCCCAGGGTAAGCATCCAGAGCAGTGCATGAGTGTCCCTCCCCAGGTACAAGTGGTGGAGCCCAGCAGGGCCTCCTACAGCCCAAAGGGCATAGGTCACCAAGAGCCCTTTGGCCATCCTTTAGGTAAAGGGTGTCAGATCAAGTCCAGTGGCACCTGACATACTGCCCAGAGTGCAGAAATCTGGGGTCATCTGTGAGAAACATGGCTGTCATGGTCCGAGACCCTAGGAGATGAAAAAAGCAGTCATAAGACTATATCCAGGCCCCTAAGAGTAACCATTTCTCCTTCCAATAATAAGCGCAGATCTTCCTGAGTGTCCCTGAAATGCGGGTTCTCCCATACCCTTTGGTCTGGCTCCTCATTTCTGTTTGTTTGTTTTTTAAGTTTATTTTCGAGAGAGAAAGAGAGAGACGGAGAGCACACAAGCAGGGGAGGGACAGAGAGGGAGGGAGACACAGAATCCAAAGCAGGCTCCAGGCTCTGAGCTGTCAGCACAAAGCCGGATGAGGGGCTCCAACCCACAAATCACCAGACCATGACCTGAGCCGAAATCGGTGGCTTAACCCACTGAACCACCCAGGCGCCCTTCATTTCTGTTTTTTATAAGCACAGCCAACTCCAAATTTAAGGGAGAAAAATGTTTTAAATGCTTTCAGTTGGTTTAGAACTCAGCACATGGACAGAAAAGCAGAAGCTTAAATTTCGGACCACTGGTTCCTGGAATGATTCATGGGAGAATGGAGTGAACAGGAGTGAACAGAATGCCCTTCTAGGGGCGCCTGGGTAGGCATGATGGGTTGCTTGGTAAATCAAATCAACCAGACCATGATCTCACGGATCGTGAGAGTTCGAGCCTTTGTCCGGGCCTCTGGGCTGATAGCTCAGAGCATAGACACCTGTTTCGACCATGTGCTCTCTATATAACCCTTCCCCCGTTCATGCTCTGTCTCTCTCTGTCCCAAAAATAAATAAGAACATTGAAAAAAAAAAAAATTTAAAAAAAAAAAAGAATGCCCTTCTAAAGTTCCCACACATTTTGAAACCTAAGCCTGGGTATGTGGCCAGTTGGTTGAAGTGGTCCAAAACCAGCTCAGGTGCAATCTACCGGCGGTCAAGTGAGTTCAGAGCCCCCATGTTGGGCTCTGGGCTGATGTCATCCAGGCACTGGAGCCTGCTTCCGATTCTGTGTCTCCCTCTCTCTCTGCCCTCCCCCATTCATGCTCTGTCTCTCTCTGTCTCAAAAAGAAATAAACGTTAAAAAAAAATTTAAAAATAAAAAATAAAGTTCCCACACATTTTGAAAGTCCCCTGGCATCCCTAGACCTCCTCAGACTCGCACTATGGCCGCCCTCAGACACATGGCCAAGGTTCCTCTCCAGCCTTCCCATCTCTCCAGGCCACGAAATCTTCCCACAAGTCAAATTTGAAAGAGGTCCTGAAGTCCCTCCACTTAAACCGTTCTGTTAAACTAACGTTTTGACCTAAACCCTGGCACTCCATAGTTCAACCACCTCCTTCCAGGGCAGACTTGGAGTCTCTCCAAAGAGGCCGGTTGAACCCCCAGAATACCAAGCCAGATGCCAACGTGTGCCTGCCAGCATCTCCCCCCTAGTAGGCCTCAAGACCACCAGCCAGTTACTCGCTAGTCCCAGGGTGGACTGCCGTACCTGGGTACCCCGGCTCCCAGACCCCGTCAGACCAGTCATTTCCTTTGGCTACAGAGTCAAAATGGCCCCTGTCACTCCGCTCTCACTTCCATCCAAATGGACTTTGTCTTTCTGTGTTTGCTGTGTCACGGAAGTGGGGCCGTCCGGGTCAGTCCCCTCCCTAAGCACCCCCACCCCCCCCCACACACACACACACCCGGTCCCCTTGGGATCACCTTTCAGCCTCGGCTCCTCTCGCCCGCCCTGTCGGGTAAACCCGGTGTGAGGCTCTCAGGGCGAATCCAGCCTACCCAGGCTGGCGCAGCGCCCCACTCCAGACCGAGCGCGCTTGCACCGCTGCACCACCGTCGCCAGGTGGCGCTGCCGCTCACGGAAGGGCGGGGCCGGGCGGGTCTCCAGACTCACCTTGTCCAGTTGCCGGGGCAAAGCAGCCCCGAGTGGTTCGCTATAAACGCAAAAATAGGCCTTTGATCGCCCCTTTCCATCCCTACAAATGAGGGGGTGACTTGTCCCTCTCAGGGTGCACGCTCTTCCTACTCCGTTGTTTTTCAAGACGGCCTTGGATGGCTCCACTTCCAATTCCTCTAAGGCCGACTCACCCACGGACTGACTGCAGAGAGGACCCCCAGCCCGAGTTTGCCTCATTTGCCCCGCCCCCAGGCCTGCTAGTCTGGGGAATTACGTCTAGACCTGAGCCTGAACCTGAGGGGCCTCCAGATCTAGTGGGAGCCCGAGCCTGCTGTATCCTGAAGGCTATGGGCGAGAGGCAGAAACACTAGCAAAAAGGGATATGCGTCCCACCCAGAGAGCAGAGCGAGAGCGAAGCCGCAGCACCAGAGTCGTCTGCCTTCCTCCCACCTCGACGCTGGGAAAGAGCTGGGATGCAAGATGCCTTCGCTTCAATGCCCTGGGCTCCAATCCTGGCTCTGCTACGTGACCTTGGCCAAGTCACGTAGTTTCTTGGGCCTGTTTCCTCCTCTGTAGAGGAAAGGCTTGGCTCTCCAAAGTCCCCAGTCTTGACCTGGGGGTGGGGTGGGCCTGGTGGCCCTCACACTGCCAGCCCCTCAGCCTTTATCCCGGCCCGGGGAGGGAACATGGCTCTCCTAAGGCGCCTTAAGACTCACCGAGGGGCCAGGGCTGGGAGGGGCCCCAAAGCGACGCGGGAGCTGCCAGCTGGGGGGCGGGGGCGGACAGGGCGCTGAATAATGAATGAGACTTAATTGGGCCCGCACTGAGAGGCGGCGCGCTAAGCTCGGCAAACAGCTCGGGCGGCGGCGGCCGCCGCTGGACAAACAAACTCGCTCCCGGCGCTGGAAGCGGGGTGGGGGAAGCAGCGGCGGAACGCAGAGGGAAGGGGCTGGCCGCCTGGCCGCCTGGCCGCCTGGCCGCGCGCAGCCTGCTCTGAGGCCGGAGGAACCCAGGGCTGCTGGGCTGAGCTGACCTCCCAGAGAGTGGCGGTCGGGGAGGGTGCTCAGGGTTCCAGCTCAGGAAGCGAGGGCTGGGCGGGGAGAGAGCGGATTGTGCGGTGGGAACCAGGGGCCCAAGGGCGACAGGAGTGCGCGGAAAAGATGGAGAAACGAGTGGGGGGCGGAGAAGAGAGGGAGAAGTGAGCGGAGAA